TAAAATAATATTAAAATATTAATATTTTAATTATTATTGAGATTAGTGATGGAGAAAAATTATATGACTAATCTAAGTGGGGGAGACGAAGCAAGAAAGAATTTTGAAGAAAAATAATGTTAGTGAGGCCTGTGTGCCTTTATTAAATAGAGCACGAGTGGGTAAGTGTATATTTAAATATTATGGTGACACCTTAATAGCGTGCAAACCTTATATTATATTTGTCCACGTGTAAAGGAAGGAAACTAGAAAGAAATTGGAATTTAAGAAGTGTTGGAAGGAGTAAATTATAAAGCATGAAAGTTTGAAGGGTCACATGATGAATAAAGAAAAGTTTGAGGACTTATGTGTAATTTTCAATATTTGAAGGTAAATGGGAAATTTTTAACAAAGGAAAGTTAGATTAGGTGGAATATAAATTGGACATGTGAAATTTACCATTACATGCAAATTATTATATGCAAAAAAGGAGAAGTTAGTGAGAAACATGTGGAACCCCCAGCATGTGAAGTAAAATAAATGAATAAGATTAAAATTTATTGCATGTAATGTGATTGGTGCATTGGGTGGTCAAATGAAGAAAGGAGAAAGTGGGTTACATGTGATTTGAATGGTGTAACAAATGGCTAATTAAAATATAAAGAAAGTTGTGCATGAAGTGTAATTGTTAGAAATAGGTGGCAAAGGAAATAAAAAAAAATAAGAAAATGAGGTGGCGGATGGAGGATAATTATGATAGATTTTAGACCAATGAGCAAAAAGATAATTTGTGCATGAAATGTGAGTGGGGAGTGAGTTGGTCCAAAGAGAATAAGGGACAAATAAAGGAATGAAGAGAAAAAGAATAGAATGAAGAAAATCAAGCAAATAAAAATGAAAAAGGTAAAGAAAATGAATGTGACAAGTGGAAAAGTTACTAAGGCTTTTTGCCTTGTACTTTTACCACATAAAAGAAAAGAAAACATGCCAAAAAGGCATGGAGCTTTGGGCAATCGGCACATGAAAGGAAGTAAAGAGAAAAAAGAAGGAAAATAAGGTAAAAGCAGGTGACCTTGGGCAATCCACCCATGTGAGAACAAAATGGGGAAACCAAAGGCATATTCAAGGCTTTTGCCTTGAGGAGTCCGCCATAACAAAGAAAGAAAAAAAGGGAGAAAGAAAGAAAGGAAGAAAGGAGGAAGAAGAAAAAAGAAAGGAAAGATCGGTTTGGGGAACCCAAAGCAAGGTAAGGAGATTTCCATTTTTCTTGAAATGCAGGCTTAGTAAATCAATTGTAATGTGTGATATTGTTTATGGTAGCAAGGATCTACAAGGATTCAAGGGACCCAAGGCATGCATGTAGGTAGATCTTGGAATGCATGGTGATTTTAGAGCTAAATAAGTAATGGGTAAGTGTTTGTCATGAAATTTTAAGTAGAAAGGAAAAATGAGATGTATATTGATTGACTATGTTTGTGGCAGCAAAGGTGACCATAGATATGAGGGAGTTGTGAATTATATTTGAAAAGTCAAGCTTAAACCGAGAGGTAAGCATGCAAAGTGACTATATTGCATTGTATAAATTTTGGTTGGTTAAAGTGTATAGATTATGTGATAAATGCTTGTGAGCGGTGTTGATAAAGCTAAGAGATTTAGTTAAGGATTATTGATTGATATATGCCATTCGTGAGTATAATTAAATGAATTGGGTTGAATGGTTGCTAAGGAGAAAATAGGTAAGAAAAGTTGCCACGGTTACGTGCTGGGCGAGATAATGAAAGATCGGCAAGTAGAAATTAGCTAGATACACACTCGAACCAATAGCAACGTAGTGTCCCGCTATTGTGAGATGAACAAGGGGTGTTTATTTTAAAATCTCCTTAAATATATATATATATATGTGTAGATTTATTTTAAATGCAAATTTGTGGAAAGCATGAGTTGGTAGAATTGCTAGGAAATTGTGGACGTTATGACTTTGGAAATGGCATTGAATATATATATAAGATATATATATACGTAAAGGTTTTTGAAATTGGGAAACAATGTTTTTAATATGATTTATGTCAAGTATGTGCCTTATAGTTTTTGTGATGTGCATTCATGATTGAAACACATATCCACCATGCCAAATGATCTTTCAACCTCATGCAAAGAGTTTATATTTGAAAGTCTTATAAAGGATCTTATCATGTTACTACATGAATATTTTGGAAATGATTTTGAAATGAACTTTTGAGATCCCAACTATATTTTTAAATGGTTTTATCAAACCGGGAGATTCAAGAGTAGGTCGATTGTCACTTCGGTTAAGTGTGACCCTTGTGCAATTGTGAGCTCTAGCTAGAGAATCTTTGGGTCGCCGATGGGCTGTTATACATGGCTGGGGCCATGGTCTGTGATTATATGTGGCTAAGCCATAAGTTGTGATACTCGGTTGCGGCTACCTAATTTTTTCGATGTCGGCCAACATTGTTGAGAATGCCATGGCATGTGGGGATCCGGAGGAATGGAGCTTCCAAATGTTATTACATGGAAGCGGGTCCACATGTTCTTTATTTTATTCCTACTCGAGAGTGATATCTCTTTAGGTTTTTACGCACGTAGTTTTTCACATGGTGAGAAATAACAGTTTTCCCGTAGCTCCCTTATTTATACGATGACATTGGATTTTAATTCCTAATGAACGAGGTGATTTATGAATTTGCATATAAACTTTATTAATGAGGGATTTTATGGGAGCTCGCATGGTGATTTTATATTGCTTTAAACCAGTTGCAAAATCATTTTAATGGCAGAAATCTTTACATGAATTCGTTGATAATTGATTTAAACAACTATCTTGCATTGGCTTACTAGTTTTACATATAAGGCATAAACCTCCCTTTTTGAGTTAATTTATTTACATATATTGTCATATTTTTAATATTCAAATATTTGACCTTTATCTTGTTTCCCATCTACGCCCTACTCACGGGATTGATGATCACTGAGTTTGTGAGATTCACCCATTTATTTTCTTTTTGTAGATAAGTAATTAGCTCAGGTGCCTTGCTCAGCACATCGAGACTTACTGCAATATAGGTAATGGCATCACTTAGCCTTCCACTCCGAGTTGCTCTACTACCTAGAGGTCGTGTTGTGTCAAGTAGATAAACTCATAATGACTAACAGATTGTGGAAATCTAATTGCTTAAACTTGAGGTTGTGTTATGATTACTACTTATTATACTGAACATGTTGTGGGGATCTTAAACATGATTTTTGGCAACTAAATGTCATGATTCAAATTTTGTGCTCGTTTGGTTTAAGCAAACTATGGCATTAAAAATTGTGAGTTGAGTTTAAATTGTCTGAAAACTTAATTAAGGCATGTCCGGGATTTGGTGGGTTTACTTGCAAGTCTCAGACGCCAGTAACAATAGAAGGGAAAAGTCATTACAAATACGTGCACTTGCGTGATAAATCAACAACAGCTAGTAAGACCTTGAATGAGGCACAAAAAGTTTACACAACAACAGAAAAAGAGCATTTGGCTGAAGGTTTTGCTTTTGACAAATTTCACTCCTATCTAGTTGGGACAAGGGTGATAGTTTACACTGATCGTTCAGCAATCAAGTATCTAATTGCCGATAAGAATGCTAAGCTAAGATTGATAAGATGGATTCTTCTGGTACAAGAGTTCATTTGAAGGTTCATGACAAGAAAGGAACAGAGAATCAAGTGTTAGACCACCTATCAAGATTGAAGAATGAAACTTGAAGTGGAGACTCAACCTTAATCAAGGAGAGCTTTACAGATGAACAACTTTTCAAGTTGGTAAGAAAACATTTCCTTGGTATGTTGATTTTGTGGATTATCTAGTAAGCAATATTCTTCCTCTTGATTTAAATTTTCATCAAAAGAGATTTTTGCATGATGTTAAATATTATGTTTAGGATGACCTTTTATTGTTTAAGCAATACAAAAACCAGATTTTTAAAAGGGGTGTCTTAAACGAAGAAATCCTAAACATACTTCAGCATTACCATTCTTCAGATTATAAGGGACACTTTAGAGGAGGTAGAACTACTACTAAAAATCTCCAATCAGGTTTGTATTGGCCTACATTGTTTAAAGATGCTCACTACTTTGTTTTACAATGTGGCAAATGCTAGAGAGTAGGTAACATATTAAGGAGACATGAGATGCCTCTCAGCATCATCCTTGAAGTAGAGATATTCGATGTATGGGGTATTGACTTCAAGGGTCCATTCATACCTTCATATAATAATAAATACAGCTTGCTTGTTATTGATTATGTGTCGAAGTGGGTTGAAGCGGTAGCTTTTCCTACCAATGACTTCAAGGTGGTGATGAATTTCATGAAGAAAATATCTTCACTCGATTTGGCGCTACAAGTGCAATCATAAGTGACAAAGGTAGTCACTTTTACAATGGATATTTTGATGCACTTCTTGCAAAATATGGAGTTAAACTAAGGTTGCAACTAGACCCGCAAATTTGAACACTACATGTTAACACAACATGTGAAGACACGTGGTTAAATAAGTTTAGATTTAGCCTTAACGTGTTTCATGTCTAATCATGTCTGAGACTTTTAAGACATGAAATTTTTGTGTCTTAAACATGACAAACACGAGTAACATATTCAAACACATTTAATTAATCGTGTTATCGTGTTTAAACGTGTATATATGAAACCTTTATCTACTTGTTAAAAATTAATAGTCAAATACTTTTTAACCTTACATAAATAATTTTGAACAATTATTTTAAAAAGTTTTTTGAATTTTTAAGGATAATAATGTAATTATCCCAAACCTAATTTTGGACTTGTTTGTTTTCATTTTGAATCTTTTGTGCCTTACATACCAGATAACTAGACCCTTTCAACCTTTTTTCTCTAACTCTTTTTTAGTTCTTCTTCTTCTTTCCCCTTCAACCTTTCATTTCCTAAACCTCATGGAAATTAAATCTCTGATTAAGTCTCTATTTTGAAGGTTCTCAAGTGTGAAAAACCTCATGGAAATTAAATGTGCAAGATGGTTAAATGCAGAATTTGCTGAATATGTTTCAATATGTTTATCATAACTCTCTCTACAGAACTCCAAATGAGGTGATTCTTAGACCACTAGAAATCTAATAGGAAGGTCTAATTTTGACATTTGTCACTTTACCCATTTCAGACTAGAATGTGGTCAAAATCTTTGTCAAAATGAGAGTGCTGCATTAAAAGAGCAAAATAAAACAAAACACTTGAAAGCCACATTGCTAAAAAGAATTTTTGGTAGACTTCAAACTCAAAATTGTTGAGGGCTATGGATATCACTTTAAGGGCCATAGTGTGATAACTTACACTCCTTCACTTAATTAAACTAAGACAATACACATCAAAATCATAGGGCATATCAAATGTCATATATACAACCACTGAGTCACTTAAAGGAAAATGTTTTATTAATATGAAAATGAGTACAAAAGGACCAAGTCATGCTATTGTCAGGCCATAGAGGCAGCCTTAGATGATTTACTACAATCATGCTTTTACTAGTGAGGTAGCCTAACAATCCATCTACTATTCACCACATATAAAGAGTTTACAATATTTTACAAGTATTTCACCAATAGCCATTACAATGCTTGAGATAGAGTCATCTTTTTAGTAAAGGGTTTTCCTCTTAAAAACTTAACAATAATTTATACAAATGTCACTAAGTGCCATTACAATGTTTAAAAGGGGGATATCTCCCTTAGAAGTATAAAAGACTTAAACACTTAGGAACATCTACACTGTCACGGCCCTATACAAGGTTGGCTCATGACATTCTCCCCCACTTAATTTGTCAACGTCCCCATTGATTGGTTGGCTTGGAATTCTTCATTTCTTTTGCTTAAAGGCAGGGAGATGGACTTCGTTCTCCCAAGTGATTTCATCTTGCCCCAAACCTTACCATTTCACTAGATACTCCTGTGTTAGTTGTAAGTTGATTATTGTCATCCTTTTGGCCAAAATCTCCTATACTCAGCATTGTGATGGTGGCTCTCATGGCTTGACTCTTGCTTGTGTCTATTGGATTTGCATGTAATGGCTTCAGGTTGCTAATGAGAAACATGAGGTGTACCTTAATTTACTTGGGTGGATCAATCTTGCAAGAAGTTTTCCTTTCCTTGGCCATGATCGATACTAGACCTTTATACTTTCGTAATAGTCTTTGATCTCTTTTCCTTAGGAATCAGAGTTGTTTGAGTACCAACTTCACTAGCACCAAGTCTCCCACCTTAAAATGTTGCTCCTGTCAATCTTTATTTGCCTACTTCTTCATGCGGCTGGAAGCTTTTTCTAAAAAGACTTTCATGATGTTAGTGTTTTATCTCCACTCTTTAGCAAAGTTGAATGCTTGTGAACTCTTCCTGCTATATGATTCCACTGAGGTATGAAGAAGTCTAAGTTGTTGTCTAGTGATGACTTTGAAAAAGCTTTAATTATTGGATGAGCTTTTCTATGAGTGAAAACATAGTTGAGCCACATGTAGTAGGCTGGGCCCATTCTTTTAGTTCGCTTGTACAAAGTGTCACAGATATTCGTAAAACAACCCATTTAAACGTTTCATCTGGCCATTGATTTTTCGGTGATAAATGGAAGATATATTAAGTTTTAACCCCAATAGCTTGAAAAGCTCCTTCTAGAAGAAACCGGTAAGCCTTGGATCTCTATTATTGATAATGCTCTTAGGAACACCCCAATACTTTAGCACAAGTTTTAAAACTGTACAAGCTATTTCTTTTATGGAACCAAACTTCTGCATCAAGATAAACGTCGCATACTTTGAGATATGGTCTACCACTACCAAGATCGCGGTTGTATCTCTTACTTTGGGAAGTTCTACTATGAAGTCTATACAAATACTTTCCCTTGATTTGGTTGGTACTGGAAAGGGTTCTAGCATTCCTGTCGGTCTTTGTCCTATTTGCAAATGAGACACGTCTTGGTATAATCCATCACGTCTTACCATATATAAGGCTAATAGTAACCTATTTCAATAGTGCAATAGTTCTCTACTAGCCTAGATGTCCTACCCAAAAGGTGTTGTGACATTCTTGCATCAACTTTTGCTTCAACTCTTCCACTCTTGGAACAAATATGCGTGGTCCTTTCATTAGTAGGAGTCCATTTTCCACCCAAAAGTATTTCAACTTTTCACTCTCCACCATCTTCATAATGGCGATTGCTTGGGAATCTCGATGCAAGTTTTCTTCAAAAGATTACAGCTATCTGTGGTCATTTTGCTGGCTGTCATTCGCATGATCACTTTGAAAGCTACAAATTCTGCCTTCCTACTGAGGGCATCTACCACACAATTCACCCTTATGGCTTTGTGCTTGAAGGAAAAATTAAACTTAGCCAAGAACTCCTGCCATTTCATTTGCTTGGTTGTACATTTTGGCTTGATGTGGAAGTTACTTATGATGGTGTTGTTTGTCTTAACTATAAATTGTGATCCTAACAAATAGTGTCGCTAGGCCAATAAATAGTGAATCACTGCATTAGGGAGTGCAAGGTTTGATGCATCCATCTATACCTCAAAGGGTTGTTTAATATTGAGGAATGCTAAGACAGGATCCATCATCATCATGTCATTCAAGCCTTTGACAGCTCCTTGGCACTACGACGTCCAACTCCACTTCTATCTTTTTTATAGTAATTTTGTTAGTACTACCATCCTCTCTGAATATCCTTCCAGAAATCTTCAATAATAATTGGCTAGCCCCAAGATTGAATGAAGCTTAGTTATTTTCTTAGGGGTGGCCTATTCGTTGATAGCCTTCGCCTGTTGCATATCCATCCAGATGTGCCTTTGTTCAACTATATGGCCAAGAAATTGAATTCAAGTTTGTGTGAACACACATTTCTCCCTGTTCACATACAATTGGTTTTCATATAAACTTTGAAAGACTTGCAACAAGTGCTTTGGATGTTCCTTTAACGTTGAGCTATACACCATAATATCGTCCAAGTAGATTACCATGAACTTCTCTAGATAATCATGAAAAACCCGATTAATCAATGTATAAAAGGTAGTAGCATTGGTTAGTCCAAAAGGCATAACAAGAAATTCAAATGCACCATACTGTAAGTGGTTTTCGATTCATCTCCCTTAGCCACTCTTGCTTAATAGTAGCCCGGTCTCAATCTAATTTGGAGAAGTACT